AGGAAATTAATTGGAACATTAGAGAATGTCGTAGATCTGGGAGGGCTTCTCAGAGGCGGTGTCTTGGACTGATTTTTGGACATTGAGACAGAACCAGCTGGAGCCCAGCCAGCTGCACAGAGCTGAGGAAATCTACTGACAGGTTTCCGGGGCAGAGGGAAAGGCCCTGAGGCAGGTGTGAGGCTGGGAGGGAGCTGGGGGGACGAAAGGATTCTGGAAGGCAGGAGTGGTGGGGCCGGTGCCAGGGAACAGGAGCCGGGCGGTTTAAAGAGGTCATTTGGACAGCATGAAAGGGACAGTGTGGGGGTGGGGGTGGGGGGCGCATGGACACGAGAATGGGGTGAGAGGCGATGGCGGCCTGTACCAGCCTGGGGGGTGCGGGGGAATCCCAGAGTAATGGGGGGAGGTAAAGCCACAGACCCATGGCCAGAGTGGCTGAGGCTTGAGCAGCTGAGTGGGAGCCATGGCACTGCCACCCTCAGACTCCAGCACCCTCAGCTGGAGAGACACTGGGAGAGGTGGGGCTGGCGAGTGCCCCCGGCTACCCTGGGAGCAGCCAGGCCAGAGAGGAGGCCAGGCGCGGTCAGATCAGCAGACTCAGCCTGGAGGCGGCGAGCCAGTGGGCCGGTCAGCTGACCGCCTGCAGCGCGGGGCGCGGCCCAGGACTCCCCCCGGGACACATGTCCTGTACGGGGCGGGGAGGGGGCTGTTTCCCCCAGAGCTGGTGGGGCGCAGGTGGTTCCGGTCTGCCCTGTGCAAACTCTGTACATGCCAGAGGGTCCTGCATCCTCAGTGCCGAGTGTCACCTGCGGGCCAGCCGCGCTGGCCTGGGCGGTCACCTGCGTGGGACTCCGCTTTTGGGATCTGGAATTCACCGGGCCTGGGGAAGCAGCTGAAGGCACAGGTTACGCTCACATTCTGGACTGGGTGGACCGGCTTCCCCCGCGGTGAACAGGCCGAGCGAGTCTGTTCTGTGGGGTGTGTGCAGGGGGTTTGGGGGAGGGCTAAATGGGGTGATCCTGACCTGGTGTTCTCATGGGTGTGGCCCCGGCTGAGGCTGTGGGGCGGTGAGAACAGCAGGCTCAGAGTTATCAAATGGCCACGGTGGCGCCCAGCCGCCCTCCAGGTGCCCGAGGGCGGAGGGAAGTGGGGCTCGACCCCCGCAGTTCAGAATCTGGGGTGCCATGCCCTCGCACTTGCTCTTCTGCTTTAGCACAGAGCAGCTGCAAGTGTTTTCAAAGGCCCGGACTGGTTCCCAAGGAGCGTGTGCCGGGGCTTGGCCCGCTTACCTTGGCGCTTTACAGCAGCAAAACCCTCCTTCCCGTGCTTCAGCATTTTCTTTTGCGGGAGAGAAAGGTTCTGTGGCTGCGCAGACCGGGCGCCTTCCCCACGGCCCGCGAGCCGGTGACTTCCTCCCTGCTGCTGGCCCGGCCGGCTAGAATCTCATTCTGGTTTAATTTCCGGTTCTTCGGCTGCCCTGTGCGTCCCTGGCTGTCCCTGCAGACCGGCCTTAGCCGGTCACCCTGGTGTGACATTGCTCCTCCCTGGCTCTTCCCTCCCGCCTCTTCCAGGACACCCCGCTTTTCTCCCCCAGGCCTGACTCCCTGGTCCCCCGGCCCCATTTCCCTCCCCTTCCCTCCTGGCTGGATTTCAGAAGGGGACCACCTGGTTCCCACCTCTGGCCGGCAGCTGCTTCCAGCCCCTGCCAATCTGGGGTGGGGAACACCTCAGGAACCCCTCCCGGGTTTCCTTTCCTGGGGAGCCGCTGGAGAGGGCCCTTCGCTCACACCGAGCTCCCCTGGGGAGCTCTGCAGGGGACGTGTCATTCTCCTGTCAGGGAAGGTTCTTTTGTTGCTTTTTGTTTTGTTTTACAGAGGATCTGTCTGAGGCTCAGAGAGGTTAAGTCACGTGTTGCGGTCACACAGCACGCGCAGCAGGTCTGGGGTTTAAATCGGGCTGGTCGGTGTGAGTCCTGAGTCGAAGTCTAATCAGGCTTTCTCTTCTGGTCTGCGATGTCTGGCCTGGGCTCAGATCCCAGCGGGCTGTGTTCTGGCAGCTGCTGGCACCCGTCTGCACAGGTGCACGGAACGGTAGTCCTTGGCGTTGTGCAGTGCGTGGCCCTGAAACCTGCTGTCAGGGCTGCGTCATCCCCGGCGCCCAGCGCCTGTCTGGCTTGAGGGGCTGTCAGGAGCCCAGAAGCCCCTCTGACTTCGTGATTTCCTGTCGCTCCCCGCCTGAGCCCCGGGAGTTAAGGCCCACCGCCTGGCCCTGGCATGTGGAGGCCTTCCTGCGGGCCCTCAGTTCTCGGGAATAGCACCCCTTCTCCAGACTGATCTCATGGGGCTGATTAACTGTGGTCGGTGCTGAGAGAGCCCAGGACTAAGAACTGGGGGAACCTGGGCTCTGTGCGCTGACGCTTTTCTCTGAGCCTCGTTTTCCCACTCTGCTAATTGAGGGTCAGTACAAATGGCCCTGCCTGCTTTGTGGGCGACTGTGGTCAAAATGGGAGCCAGGAGGCCTGTGCGATTATGGTTGTGTGGGTACCCCCAAATGTGGGCTGGCAGATGCATGGCTCATGGGCGGGCGGCCACCACTCACTTCTGTGCCCAGGGCTGCCCAGGACACAGCCCACTGCCCTTATTAATTGCAGGAAAATGCACATAACGTGCCATTGACTGCTGTGAGGCACATTCAGAGGCACGTAAAGCTTCCCCGGCCTGCGCAGCCACCACCTCCCTCTCCTTTCAAAACTTCTTCATCCCCCCGTCCCCACCTCTAAATCGTCACTCAGTCGGCCCTCCTGTCTCCTGAGAACCTCTATCCCGCTTTGTGTCTCTAATTTGCCTTTTATGGGAAATCTTGTAACATTGGCCTTTGCATCTAAACTTGGCTCCTTTTCACGGCCGAGTAATATTCCACGGCGTTCCTGCCACAGTGATGGCTGCTGGATGAGAGACACAGCGCCATGAGCCAGTAGCTGCAGACTCCTGCTCACACTCTCCTTCAGGGACGCAGCGGGCCAGTCCCCCTGTTAGATGTGGAGGTGTTTGTTTGATGCGCCGCATCTTCCCAGCCCTGTGTCTAGACAGTTACAAAACTCATGTCAAGTATAGAACCTGAAAAAGACAATAAATGAAACAAAAATGCTTCTCATAGTTCTTTTTTTAAAGATCTGTTTACACACACAGAGTTGGGGTACAGGCCAGAGGCGTGGAGGGTGAGCTGGCCGTGTGGCTCAGGGCTCCCGCCAGCACCCTGGGGGCGCGTTGCGGCCCCCAGCACCCTCCTCGTGGGGCTGGGGGCGCGGTGCCCCTGGCTGCGCACTGCTGGGGCCTCCCACGGGGCGTGCACGCTCCATGCGGCTGCTCCCCTCAGCGCCAGCTGGGACGGGCGGCGGAAGCCGGAGTCTGGAACGTCCTTGCAGTGGCTCGGTGCCAGGTTGTGTTTGTTGGAAGCAAACAGCTTGGCCGGCCCATGCCCTAGGGGAGCAGCCCGCACAGGTGGGCCCTGGCCTTCCCACCCAGCTGGACGCACCGTGCTGAAGGGGTTCAGGGCGGCAGCTGGGGTCGCGCAGCCCCCCGTGACCGCAGGACCGTGACTGGCGTCATGGTGCCCCTGTCGCCCCTTCCACTGGGCAGGGGCTGGGTGTAGGCCCAAGGACAGGGCCTGAGAGCTGCCCCCAGCCCTCCTCCAGCAGCACCTGGCTCTGCGAGGGGGGAGCAGGACGTGGCTTCGGGCACGTGCCAGCAGCCGAAGGAGTCGGTGTGAGCGGGGCTCCGAGGGTCCGCTGCTCGCGAGGGCATGAGCTCACCCGTTCCTGGCCTGGCCCAGTCCTGAGGACCCTTGGTGTCACGGGCCGAGGATACCTGCCTGCCGGGACCTGGCTGGGGGCTGGGGTGGGGCCACGTGCCTGCTCAGGCGCTGTGCGGCCCGGGCAAGTTGCTCTCCCTCTCTGGGCCGCCCCCCGGAAGCGCCCACGTCACACCGCTCCTGTGTTTGTCGGGGTGAAGCGGACTCACGGGGGCGCGGGGGTCCGGCTGGGCCCGGGCTCACGCCTCCGCGCCCCCAGGTGTTCTCCATCGTGGTGTTCGGCTCCATCGTGAACGAGGGCTACCTCAACAGCAGCACGAAGGGCGAGGAGTTCTGCATCTACAACCGCAACCCCAGCGCCTGCAGCTACGGCGTGGCCGTGGGCGTGCTGGCCTTCCTCACCTGCCTGCTCTACCTGGCCCTGGACGTGTACTTCCCGCAGATCAGCAGCGTGAAGGACCGCAAGAAGGCCGTCCTGTCCGACGTCGGCGTCTCGGGTGAGTCGGCCGCGGGACCCCGGGGCGCGCAGGGCTCCCGCGATCCAGATGAGGAGCCGGGCGCAGGCAGGTCAGAGCCAGATCTGGGGTCTAGCTGGCCAGGGGAAGGGGGCAGGCCAGGCGGGACCCCACGGCGGGCGGGGAGGGAGCGGCGTCCGTCGGAAGTGTCGTCTCCTTCCCGTGCCTCCGGCCACCCACGTCTGGGCGGCGTCCCTGGGGCCTGACAGGCCATGACCGACAGCCCTGCCCGCGGGCAGCAAGTGCCCTGGGAGTGCCGGCCGGCCACGCTCGCCCTGCCGCAAGTGGGCTGCAGTGACCTGCAGCCTTGGCCCTTCAGAGGGGCCTCGGCTAGGGGTTCCCTGACCCCCGTGTGCCCGGAGTTCTGAGCCTGTTGGCTGCCTTGGTGGGGGTCTGTGAGGCTTTGGCCTCATCGGCCTGACGTCATGGTCTCAGGCGTCTGGCTGGGACCCCCCAACCCCATTTCCTGGCCCGGGACGATCAGAAGTTCTGCTGATGACAGCAGTGAGGCCTGGACCCCCTCTCACGGGAACAGGACCAGAATTAAATGGTTCCCGGACACTGTTCCCTGCAGACCAGGGCTCCCAGCGGTGCCTCTGGGAGCCTGCTCTGTCCACCTCCCGTCCGGGCACGCTGGCCCTCCCTGGGCAGGCCCTGCGCCCACAGACTTTGCTCCCACCCAGCCCCACTGCACGCTCCCCAGGCTTCAAAGTCACCCTGGCGAAGTTCGGAGGTGGAGCTGCGGCCTTGCCCGGGCCTCTCCGCAGCCCGCTTGCTCCTCGGGAGGCTGCGGCCGGGCAGGAGGGGCCTCCCTACTCCCCTAGAGCCACGGGCTGCAGGGCAGGACCTCGGGCCCCAGGCAGGGGTTTGGGGCCCACGCCGGAGAGGCCCCGGGCTGACTGACTGTTCTTCTCTCCCTCCTCCCCTCCCCGACTCCGGCTCCCTGGCTCTGCCTGGCCTTGCTCTCTCCACCCTGCCCGACCCCTCTCTGTCCTCCTGCGCCTTCCTGCGCTGTGCTCCCTCCCTGCCCGCCCCGGCCTCCCCCTTTGGGGGTGGGGGAGCGGGGAGCCGTCCTGCCTCTGGGTGTCCCTGCTTCCTCCTCCTCCTCCTCGCTGGCGCTCTGCCCACGCGTCCCGCACGGACCCCAGCCTTCTGGGCCTTCCTCTGGTTTGTGGGCTTCTGCTACCTGGCCAACCAGTGGCAGGTCTCCAAGCCCGAGGACAACCCCCTGAACGAGGGGACGGACGCCGCCCGTGCCGCCATCACCTTCTCCTTCTTCTCCATCTTCACGTGGGTGAGTACGCGGCCGCCAGGGCCCCGGGCCGGCCCTTCAGCCCCCGCTCTCAGCAGGGCTCCCGGGCAGCCAGGACAGTGGGCAGTGATGGCGGACCCGCCTCGGCACAGCCCCATTCTGGCGGTGGGCGCAGCCCAGGCGTGACTGGCGTTGCGTGACCTCTGCTAGACGAAGAGCGGTGGCCTGGGCCGGAGCGGAGGCCGTGAGGTCCCGAGGCTGGGGCAGGACCCGGCTGGGCTCAGAGGCCTGGGCCCCCGCGGGACGCGGCTCGCAGGCCTGCGGCTTCCCTCTGTAAAGCAGGAGCTGGGTGCAGGGTGCCGCAGACCCAGACACCCACGCCCCGAGCAGTGGGCAGAGTCTGCACAGCCAGCGGGCAGCCCGCTCCCGCTCCCGCTCCTGCAGCCTCGCAGAAAGGGGCCCCGCGGCCAGTTCCGCCTCTGCAGAGAAGCCGAACTCGCCTTTGCACGGGAATCTGACCGCGAGGTGTTGGCAGTTATTCAAGTTAAAAAAAGACCGTCTTGGGCCCCTGTGCACCCGGGTGCCGAGGTCATTTCCTGCTGGCTTCCACTCATGCTTTTTAATTTTTTTCTTTTTAAGATTTATTTATGCTGCCAGAACTGGGGTACAGGCCAGCGGTGCAGGGGGTGGGAGGCTTCACTAGAGACAGATTGGGGAGCAGAACAGGTGGATGGACTGAAACAGACGGCTGAGGGGAGCAGCGGGGAGACAGGAGCGGTCTGCTGCGCTCTGCGGGTCTCTCCCGGGCCTGGGATGGGACTCAGGGCGAGTGAGTGGCAGCTTGATAGTGCTGTCTTTAGCCCTGTGCCACCGGGGGGGGGGGCCTCCCCATTCATTCTCACCTCAGCTCCATGCGCCCCCCACCCCCCAGGCTCCTCCCCTGCAGCAGCCCCTCCCTGGAGCACCCCCAACAGCCCTGAGTCTGACACTCCACTCAGAGGCAGCAGCACCAGCCCCCCACCCCGCTCCCGACTCCCCCAGGGACTGCTCTCTGGGTGTCCACTTTCTCCTGGGACCCCCCTCCCCCTGGAAAAAAAAATGGGGAGTCGAGTTTGGAGTTTGGCTCAGACCCCAGAGTGCTGCTGTGGTCACCCGGCTCTGTGGCCACAGGACTGGGAGAGCAGATGGCCCAGGGCGGGGCTTCTCGGCACAGAGGCTCCGGGAGGGTGGCGCCACCAGCCCTGCAGGCGAGTTTGGGAGCAGCGGCCCTGGGCCCTGACCTGGGGGGCTCTGGAAAGGTGAGGGCTGGCCACCCAGTCTCCCTGGGCGGGTCTCCAGGGTCTGACTGACGGGCCGGGCTCCCTGTGGGCACCGGCCCTCTCCCCACTCTTGTCTGCGGCCTCACCCTGCTCTCTCCTGGCAGAGCCTGACCGCAGCCCTGGCCGTGCGGAGATTCAAGGACCTTACCTTCCAGGAGGAGTACAGCACGCTGTTCCCCACCTCGGCGCAGCCCTAGGCCCTCCGCTTCGGGG